AAAAGTTATTATGTTGTTGAGCTTCTTAGAAGATGTATAGTATCGCATAATGTTGCCCGTCGTTGGCAGAAGTGCGCCGGTATCGTCTATCCAAGTCAGAATAGCTATATGTTTGGGACTTAAGCTAGCTTGTGGCAGGAGTCTATCACTTTATTCAACTTTAATTTAATCATTTTCCAGATTGGTATGCCTTATGATAATAATAATGTTAATATTCGTTTTTTTCACCCATTACAGACTTCTCTGGTGAAGAATGGGGCCATGTATATGTCCTGGCCTACCTGCACCCCGCGACTGCCGCCGGTGCAGAGTTAATGAAAAAATCACAAATGTTTGATGGTGGTTATTTAAGAAACCTTATTGAAAATTATTCAGTTAGTTGTTGTTGTTGTTGTTGTTGTTGTTGTTGTTGTTGTTGTTGTTGTTGTTGTTGTTGTTAAAGTTATAGTTATTGTCCTGGCGTTGTTATTGTTCTCGTTCTCGTTCTCGTGCCCGAATAAATGTGCTGCAGCGCTACTCAGTCTGTTTACTTGCGGGTGGCGGTCGAGAGTCGGGGGCACTGGTCGACGGAATTCCGTCGACGGAATTCCGTCGACCGTGCCTCGACCCCGAAGACCAGTAGTGGTACTAGTTAACTAGTGCCACTACTGGCCTTGAGCTAGTACCATTACTAGCCTTGGGGGCTAGTACCATTACTGGGTATGGATTAGTAGGCAGTGGCTAGTTACCTTACCAGGCAGGGGCTGTTATGACACCTAGTAGACGCACTACCCACGCTATTTACGTGCGTGTTGTCAAACTAGGTGGAGCACGGTGGTCGTATGCATACGAGGCACAGCCTTGTCGAACAAGCTTGTTACTCGGCAACTAGCCTAAAATTAGCCAAATTTACACGCTCCTGCAATGTTATTTTTGCGCTGAGAATTCCTCTACACTGTAAAAAAAACTTACAAGCCCCTCGTAGAGGAATTCTCAGCGCAAAAATAACATTGCAGGAGCGTGTAAATTTGCTAATTTTAGGCTAGTTGCCGAGTAACAAGCTTGTTCGACAAGGCTGTGCCTCGTATGCATACGACCACCGTGCTCCACCTAGTTTGACAACACGCACGTAAATAGCGTGGGTAGTGCGTCTACTAGGTGTCATAACAGCCCCTGCCTGGTAAGGTAACTAGCCACTGCCTACTAATCCATACCCAGTAATGGTACTAGCCCCCAAGGCTAGTAATGGTACTAGCATTCCGTCGACGGAATTCCGTCGACCGTGCCTCGACCCCGAAGACCAGTAGTGGCACTAGTTAACTAGTACCACTACTGGTCTTCGGGGTCGAGGCACGGTCGACGGAATTCCGTCGACGGAATTCCGTCGACCAGTGCCCCGACTCTCGACTGCCACCCGCAAGTAAACAGACTGAGTAGCGCTGCAGCACATTTATTCGGGCACGAGAACGAGAACGAGAACAATAACAACGCCAGGACAATAACTATAACTTTAACAACAACAACAACAACTAACTGAATAATTTTCAATAAGGTTTCTTAAATAACCACCATCAAACATTTGTGATTTTTTCATTAGCTCTGCACCGGCGGCAGTCGCGGGGTGCAGGTAGGCCAGGACATACATGGCCCCATTCTTCACCAGAGAAGTCTGTAATGGGTGAAAAAACGAATATTAACATTATTATTATCATAAGGCATACCAATCTGGAAAATGATTAAATTAAAGTTGAATAAAGTGATAGATTCCTGCCACAAGCTAGCTTAAGTCCCAAACATATAGCTATTCTGACTTGGATAGACGATACCGGCGCACTTCTGCCAACGACGGGCAACATTATGCGATACTATACATCTTCTAAGAAGCTCAACAACATAATAACTTTTGTTTACAAATGGACAACCTTTTTGTTGAGCACACAGCAAATGATACAAGATGCCTCACCTTCAATCAAGCCAAAGAGCAGTTGGGCAGACACACACAGCAATGGCGACGCAACACAAAATGGACGCCGGCTCCCGGAAGCGGGGGGGGGGGGCTCCTTCTGAAAGCAGCCACAGACTCCTAGGTTGTAACATGCGACGAGGATAGCTATGAGGCACATCCTCATAGCCATCCGAGGCCGCTTACCACGCAAGCTTGCCAGCACGTTTACCAGCTGCAGGCGTTCGTGACAACAAGCGGGGTTGCACGCAAGGTTATCCGTTTAGTAGGTGCCAGCCGGGGCCTCGTCAGCTGAGCTAATAGCGAAATGACCTAATTGAGGGACACGCTAAAAACTGGCCGAGAACAAGCCAACGGCGGGTAACACTGTGAGGCTGTGCGTAGTTCATTAACACTGCGCAAAATTAGGTTCCTGAACATGTTCTCGCTCGTAGGCATTTGTTCCACAAGCGGCATTGTTAATGTGCATGGCTCTGACTACTAATGTCCATATATGTTGTAACGAGGAGCAAGGGAGGCACTCGTAAAAAATGCCTAATTTCAAAATTAGCTAGTGAATATTTTTTACAGTGTACGAGGGGCTTGTAAGTTTTTTTTACAGTGCACGTATTGTTATGCGCTTTTATTGTTCTTGTCAACAACGTCCATGCCATGCTACATAATGTACAAATAGGTAAAGAAAACAATAAAGGCAAGTGATAAATATGCAGCATCTTTCATTCTGCAGCATTTCACTGCGTCATAAATTAGAACGTTTGAGTGACTCATTGACTTACCTGCCCCTCCCTCCACCAGCCTTCCTATTATTTTTACTTGGCTTACCGTCCATTCGTGAGATCATCCTGTTCGGATGACTCAGTCATGGAACTTTCAAAAGAAACGTCATCGAGTAGTGAGCATTTCAATTTTTATTGCAAAGGTATTAAAAGGTTCCGTTTTCGCGGGCATCATGTCATCAGGCGCAGATAAGCTTGACTACCTTTGAGCGGTGGAAAGTAGAAAAGTCGGTTAATTCCGCAAGCTTGAAAAGGTGAGCAGATCATGTCGCTTTCGTAGTGATGTTTCGCGATTAGACCATTTAACTGACATTTTACAGGTGTCAGGGAGGCATTATGTTTCCCTGTCATCCTCTGACGTTGAAGCTTTAGGCCAATACAAACACAGTACCTACCAATCCTGCGCTTCAACTGACTTTCCATCTTCCTTCCCCATCCCAGTAGACTGCATGGGACACCATCCCTCCCGTAGACCGAGCGGTCACCAGCACCGTTGGACGTGCAGTGGTGACCATGAACTGGTGCTGGTGCCGGCATGTAACCCGAGCAGTCTCCGTCAGTGAGCGACTGAATGGTGTTTTTGCGAGGGGCGGTCCCGCCACCGGCGTATGGCCGGTGCACACTGCTGCTGCACACTGCACAGTAGCGCTGAAACTGATGTTACTCGTTTGGATCATGATGGCTCTGCAGTGTGATGTGGTGTAGCGAGCGATGAGGCTGACCGAACTAAACATTGAGGTATTATGATGTGATGAGATGTGGTGAAGATGAAGAGAGGTGATGTGATAAGGTGGGCTCACTTGAAAACAATAACAATTGTTCTCTAGTGCCGCTCGTGTAATTTGTGAAGGCATACTTTGTCCGTTGGTCAGAACAAAGTAATATTGGGTCAGAGTTATGGGTGGCAGTGACCGACAGTGGCACCAGCATTGTGACGTGCTGTTTGGACATGCCCATCAAAACTGGTCACTTAACACAATCAAACAACTCCATTCACAGCTCTGCAGTTATGCAACATGTTGCATAACTGCCTGAGCGAACCTGCAGGTTCGTATGGCCCAAGACAGGTCGGCGTGGATCGGTGTCGGTCGTTCAGGGTGTCCACGGCTCGCTCAGAGCGGGCTGCAGCTCGGCGACAGCTGGTTCATCTGACATTCCGCCGAAATCACCGCCGCTGGCCGCTGATCGGGACACGCGACCAGAAACCGGAGTCGACAGCGGCCCGATGGCGGATGAAACATTCATAGGTGCGGGTCGCCGTGTGCGCCGGCACCTGCAGCCGTGGAGCACGGGGTAGGTCTAGGTATGTGGCACGTGCAGGGAACGGCGCTGGGCAGTCACGGAGCGGTCCGCACCCGCTTAAGACCACTACTATCGCGGCTGTCATCACTGTGCCCTCCGGCGAGGGATGAGAATCTGCAGCGATAGTTGTGGGGCACGGCTGGCCGAACGCGAGACGTGCTCAGCATGGCAACAGTGCAGCGGCGAATCTGAATAATTCCCCGTATCAGACGGATTAAATACGGAACCAGAACATTTCAGCCAGCATTCATCGAAATTCCTAAAGCGTCAGCGAATTATACAATACCTATACGTGTTTGGGAAGATAAATGCGAGCAGCCAGTTAAGTTGGCTCTACGAATGACTCACATGATAGTAGATAGGACAACGATATGTAATTGGCTGTGGTCCATAATTTCATATTATTTTCGCAATGCGGCTAATGGACTTTTCCGATCGTGTTTTACAAATCCAGTGTTAATGTAAAGATTAAAGACGTAAATACGCCTATTTAGCTTTCATGCCAGCGATATCATCAGTGTCAATTACCTTCAATCAACACATGTCAGGGACTGTATTTTTGTTTCGCTAATGCCTGCTAGGCGCCAGACGGGCCACGTCATCATTACTACAACAAACGAACGTGAATCTTCAATGGAACCTGCACGTGCTCATGAACCGAGAGATAAATGCATCCGTAATCAAGTCAAAATAACGGTTAATGAGCGTCAGTACTGCACAATGGTGCGCTCCAGCGCCGAGGAATCGTGAGGCAATGAAAGACGGGAAACGACAGTAAACCCTGGCCTCCCTAATGAGAAGAACAATATTTCATTAGGTAGATTTATATGCAGATATCGCGTAGTTACGTTTTGTTTTGTCTTCTCCTGACTGTCAGCACGTCTCATTTCACTGAATTGGTGGCCCCACAAACCACGGCGTAAAACGCTGCGCCTGCCCGGCTATCCGGTAGGTAACTACCCCCGTCCCGGCGTCCTCACCTGCTGCCGCTGCGCGGGCGCGCTCCTCCGTACCGCCGGCCGCTCTTGGGCCACAGGTGCTTCAGCGAGTTGTCCACCACCGTCACCTCGGGGGTGGTCGGCGGCGGCGGCGCCGGCGAGGCCTCCTCCTCCCGCGCCTCTCCATCTTCATCTTCCTCTTCTTCTCCCTCCTCCTCGTCCTGCTGGGCGGGTTTGGGGAAGCGCGCCGGCTTGGGCCCTGCCGAGAAGCTGTAGCCGGGCGGCGGCTTGGGGCCGACCGTGTGCTCACTGACGATGTAGGCGGGCAGCACGTCCTCGCGCGCCGGCTCGTCCTTCTGCGGCCGGTGCTGCGCCACCTTGGGCTCCGCCGGGAACCGGTGGCTGTCGCCGGGGTTGGACGGCGGCACCCACCAGCGCGGCCGGTCCAGGCGCGGCTCGATCAGCGCCGCCGCCCGGCCCGGACCGCCGCTCAACCACAGCACAGTCACGTTCAGCACCAGCGCGGCCAGCAGCCGCTCGCGGCGAGCCATGGCTGCGAGTGCGGCGGCGGCGGCGGCGGCGGCGCGCGGCAGCGCTCCGCTCGCCGCAGGTATCCAAACATGTAACTGGCGATTTGCGGCGGCGGCGGCGGCGGCGGCCAGCGGAGCGCGCGCAGCTCTCGGGCAGAGCCAGTGGCGCCGCTGGTAGCCGGCCAGACACAAAGGCGCCTCAGCCGCCCGACTCCCAAACACGGCTCAGAGACGGGAGAGAAACGGAAAAAAAACCGTGCAAAAACTAACGGTAAAGTTCTAAAATGGGAGGAAAATAACGAAAAACACACTGAAAAACTGGCGGCTCGGTTGAAAGTCATGCGGGCTATATTCAGAAACTCAAAGGTAACTATTTGTCAATGTTTTTACAAACAGTGAAAAGCTCTGCTGAAAGCTTACTCGTTGGTTTCCACGTGTTTAGACGAAGTCATTACCAAGCTATTTTCAGAATAATCAATGAATCATTTCTTTACATTTTTCCTAGACTAGGAAAGAGCATTCATATTGAAACGGTAACTCTAGGCGAGTACAAGCACACCATTTTGGCGAGTCTTATTTCTTCTAGGTAATGTAATGAACACTGACAGTCTGACTTATCAATGTGTTTTGACAAGGACAACGGGATGTCACTGATTCGCTTTGGCAGCTATCTACTGTTGTGATGGATTCATGCGCTCCGTTGACAGTATTACTACCATAATGTCCATCAGTCCGGTATGATTGAGTGCGGCACATCGGTGGTATCGTGCAGACGCCGTCAAAAGGCCAGCGCCGGCGCCAGCGTCCCGAGTCGACCGATATTTGGATGATTGTTGAGCTGAGACATGGTTAGGGAGATTGAGCTCCGAGAAGCACTGATATTTTTTCCGCTCTGGGAGCGATAAACCGAAAATGTTTGCCGCACGTGTATGGTAAACATAGATAATAAATACATCGATTGGCACATGGACAGGTATTTAAAACGCCAGACATAAACACTTATGATAAGCCAGAGTAAATGTAACCTCAGTAGCTTTACATCGTACATACCTTTTACCTGCCTCCCCTGCTTTTGCCTATCCTCTAGAGAAATGAAAGATAATTGGGTTTTGGGCGCATTCAATTGTAGGTACCTAAACCAGTATAACGCCTTTTGGGGCGACTAACGGAGCGAGCGAGAGGGTGGGCCTTGCACGTGCGAAATTGCGAGGGGGTACATACCTCCAACTGACTTGTGCATGGCACCCTACTAACCGGTCTCTAGCGATGTGCCAAATTTGGGCACAATCGGCCCACCCGTTCTCGAGATCTGGAAGCGGCACCCTGCACGTGCGCACGTGCAAAATGGGTCCCAACTGACTTGTGCACGGCACCCTACTAACCGGTCCCTAACTGTGTACCAAATTTGAGGGTAATTGGTCGAGCCGTTCTCGAGATCTGGAAACGACCCCTGCACGTGCGCACGTGCAGCAGCGCCCCAACTCTGGCACATGGATATGCAGTGCCTAGTGGGTGCCTACCTACATGCCAACTTTCAGCGCAATCGGCCAAGTAGTTACCGAGATATTGCAACAATTACAAAACGGACACCTCTTCGTTTTGCACGTGGCACGTGCATAAGGGGTCACCCACATGCATCAGGAATAGTCCAATACTTGGTAGAAGGAATGAAGCTACCCTACAAAAATTACCGCGTGTAAATCGGTCAAGTGGTTGCTGAGATATAGGCCTCGCAAAAGCGTGACCACGGCCGGCAGGCCGGCCGGCCGCTCATACTCAGAAATTTCCGTTAATCTAAGGAAAGACTACGCTCGCTTCGCTCGCTCCGTAATAAAGTAAATTTATGGAAATCGGTTGTGAACAAAATTTACCACGCCTATCCGTGTTTCAGGCTTTGTCTAACCAAAACTGAAAGGCCTATACGTACACCTGTGTTCCTAAATTATAATCTAAAATACAGGGCATATCACAGCCATATATGGAAAGTGATCCATGGTTTTTAAACGTTTACGTGGCTAACAAAAAAAAAAATGCTCTAAGTTAGGAGTTTATTTCCAACAACAAAAGAGCCCAACGAATCAACCCATATAACACAAGAAGGGTCGCACGTGCCCGACCATCACAAGTTTTCAGCTCTCTGGGCGTTTAGTACCCCGTGTTCACGTACGAACACGTCTGTAAAATCTACCACAAATGCGTGCGAGCCGGGGCCGCCCTCACACTCCCGCTGCGTGACCAGTAAACCATCGTGTCCGATTTCAAACAGTCTCTTGGGCGTGGCCGAGACTGTGAACAACAAGACACCTTCAGACAGGCACTTCCACGGTCCGCCTTCTGGACGAGAGGGGGGTCACAACACTTCGCCGTCCAATTCTGGGGCGAAGCCGAGGGCGGAGGTTATACCAGTCAGCTCTGCAGCGCGGGCCGCGGGCAGATATCATTCCAGAGATTACATTAGGTACCCTGTGGGCACTGAGTTTGATCACTTCCCATGGGGTTTTGGCCCGTGATATGGGAATCTAGAGGTTCGCTATGCCGAAATGTAACCGCCGCCGCCGAACTGACTAGTGACGACATCCCTCAAAGGTTCAGAACACTGCAGTTGACCTGCTCCCGATAACCCGCGCCCCGCTGGGGGGGGGGGCAGAATCTGCCCCCCCTCCCGTTATTCGCCAATAACTTCTAAACGCGTTACGCCAGCGACGTCAAACTTTCAGTACCTTATCATACATCAATTTGACACGTTCCCTGAAAATGTGAGCGAAATTCGTCGGAAAATTTTTGAGAAATTGACGTTTTAGTGACGTCATGCTCGCCATTTTCGCCTCAAAAAACGGCAAAATTTCAAACGCCGCTAACATCTACATTTTTGAAGGAATCAAGACGTAACAAAAAAAAGGTTATACGTGACTCTACTTTGTCTATCAAATGGCTATCTCGGTTTTTTGAAAATTTTGGATTTTGGCCCAATTTTTTTTTCAAAAAACTGATTTTTTTGGGAAAATAATTATAAAATCCAAAATTTTGAGTGTATCGAAAAACCGGAATATATGTCAGAGAAGTTGTGTAGGTGCACCTACATACCAATTTTTAGAAGAATCGGTTAAAAAATGTGGGAGTTATTCAAAATTTTATGACGTCACGACACACAAAAATTTTGAAAAATGATTTTTTTTGGAAGTTCTAGACCTCGTACGGAAACAAAAATAGCACCATTCGATTCTCCGTGAAAAACTGCATCAGATAGACACCTTTTGAGGCCTTAACAACCAGCTTCGAAATTTGACCTCACTTGACCTGACCTTGACCTGACCTCGACCTGAAATTCATCCAGAGGTGGTCCATATCACTTATTGAGTGTGCCTATTTAATTCTATGAGTAAAATGACCCATAAAACATGTGTCGCACATGCCCTTTTCTATATTTTGTTTTTGGTGACCTGACCTGACCTGACCTGACCTTGACCTTGACCTTTAGACAGGGGGGGCAGAATCTGCCCCCCCAGCAGGGCGCGTATGGCTGAATAGCCCAGCGGGGCGCGGGATAAGAGCTTTAGTGGCCTGTGATTCAGAGACGGATGGCTGAAGCCTCAAGACATCTTCCATAGGACCTCGTATTTTTTATCAACAGTTATCAGCGTGATCCACCCAGAGTGATTGTAATTTGTAATTTCAGCAAATTCGCCGTAGCGAGGCATCGATATCAAAATTCTGCCATGTAGGTACCTAGGGTAAAGTGGGGCAAAGCGCCCAGGGCGGGTAAGACGCCCATCCCTCTTTTTTGTGAAATGCTCGACTTTTCAAAGAATCCTTGATAGCCATTTTCAAGAATACGCAATAATCTGCTTGTACTCCCTTTTATGGTTCCACAAGTAGGGTTTTCTCTTTCTGGACGTAAGATAAATATTGGTATATTCCTGACGTTTTTTTAGGAATTGCAGGCTTTCTTAGTGCTGAAACTTTGTTTGATGGAGATTGAAGAAGGCAATAAAAGTTTGCTATTTCGAGTCTGCAGAGTTAAGCTATTCTTTGAGCACTTACTTGTTTGTAACACAATTGTGCCAGGCTAATTCAGGTAGATTCTTTTTTGAATGTGCTGTTGGGGTAATACGCCCACTTTGGTGCGGGGCAAAGCGCCCATCATGGGCCAATGGGAGTTATACAGCACGGGTAATTGCGAGCATTTTGGGCTCAAAGTGAGCGGCGGGATACTTTTTTAGTGCTCAGGATTCTTATTAAATATGCAATTTGCTCATTACGATTGTCTAGAACGATTTATTTGCAAGATTTGATCTCTGCCACTCAAGACAGTGAAAGGCGTTGACTGTTTAAGGACTGGCGTGGCGACAGCAGTGTTTAAGATGTTCTTAATAATGCAATCTGTCGAGTTGAGGTCTAGCGAAATGAGAAATGGATGAATGCTACATTGTTTTACCAGAATATCAAACTTGTGATTAAACGTTCAGGAATGGGCGTTATGCCCCACTCATATGGGCGTTATGCCCCACGGGTGGGGCAAAACGCTCGATCTGTAGTCCTCTCAAATTGGACGGCATATCTCAAAAACTGTGCATGCCACACGTTTCTGATGTGTTATTCGAAGAAAGCTAAGCTAATCAGCTACCAGATCAGCTACCTGGTTGTTCTTCAAATTTGTAAGATAAGGAGCTACTAAGGCAGGAAAGTTAGGGTGGGCGCTTTGCCCCACCCTACCCTACATATTTTGAATATCATGCAATGGTGTCCGCAGTCCGACGATGACTTTACGATCGCAGAGTTTGTGGAATAGGATATGTTTCATATTTTGATGGAAGGCTCGCCAGTCGTCATGTTATCATACATTGGTTACTACGGTTATGGGGCACAGTGCAGCCGCAGTATCCTACCAACAAAGGAAGGAATCTGGTTCGCCTAAATTTACATATATTCTTGAATAGCCACACTAGCATAAACAAGTCATACGACCGGTTAGTCCGCTTCACCAGAACTGGTTTGGTCAATAGCCGCAGAAAACCTGCAACTTTGGGCGGAGCATTTGGGCGTGCGTTCGGAACCTTTCAACAA